TGTGCTAGACTGGAAACATCCCTCTGGGAGGTAGGCCCTGACCTGAGTAGAGTTGAACACTGCTCCAGTGAACTCTATCCTTTGTGCCCGAGTGAGGGTAGACTGCTCTACATTTATCAGAAGGCTTAGGGACTTGAACACTACCTGAGCCCTGGACCAGCTCTTGTCTAGTCAGTCATCTAGATAAGGGTAGACCTGCACCCCTAAACTTCCTCAGGAAGACTGCCACTATTGCCATACATTTTGTGAACACCCATGGAGCTGCAGACAGGCTGAATGGGAGGACCATGAACTGTTAGTACAAGTGGTTCACTACGAATCTGAGGAACCTTGTGTGTCCTTGGTGTATGGATATATGAATAGGCATCTCTTTAATGGAGGATGGCATACCAATCCCTGGGATCCAGAAAGGGAATAACTGTTGAGCTGGCACAGGTCTAAAATCAGTCTGAGACCTCCCTTGGCTTTTTGGATTAGAAAATAATGGGGGTAGAACCCCTTCCACAGCTCCCACCCAAAGCAGAGATTGAACCTCTGGAGCCAGAAGCTCTTTGTGAGGAGGGTCACTGAAGAGGGGGAAGGAGGGAGGGTGGGAAAGAGGGGCAGAAATAAACTGGAGGGTGTATCCCACTTCCACTGTGCTCAACACCCAAAGGTCCATGGTGATACAGGACCACATGCTGAGCAAGTGGGAAAGGCTAAAGGCAGTTTGTAAACAAAGGAGAAACAGGGTCTGGCATAGAAGTGTAGAACAGAAAGGGACCTCAAAAAGTCTTCTGGTCCAGTCCCGTGCACTCAAAGCAGGATTAAGTATTATCTAGACCATCCCTGATAGGTGTTTGTCTAACCTGTTCTTAAAAATCTCCAATGGTGGAGATTCCACAACCTCCCTAGGTAATTTATTCCAGTGTTTAACTATGCTGACAGTTAGGAAGCTTTTCCTAATGTCCAACCTAAACTGCCCTTGCTGCAATTTAAGCACAGTACTGGACAGGCTGTTGGGGCCTACAGTGCTTCCTTGAAGGCGCTGATGTGTACAGTTCAAGGGACTTAAGGGTTCCCCTGGAGTCTTTTAATCCATGAAGCTTCAACAAGTACATCCTGCAGCGTTTGCTGGACCTCCTGTGGGAGTCCCAAGGACAGTAGTCATGAACTCCTGCTTATGTCCACTGCCAAAACCATGGACCTGGTTGCTGAGCCAGCCACATCCAAAGCGGCTTGCAACGAGACACTTGCCACTGATTTTCCCTTGTCCACCAGTGAGGGACCTAACCTCTTGCCTAACCTCTTGTGGGACCAAGTCTTCGAACTTCTGCATGGATTCCAACATGTTAAAATCATACCTGCCCCGCAGCGCCTGTTGGTCTGCAATTTTGAGTTGTAACCCTCCTAGTAGAATAAATTTTCCTACCAAACAAATCCAGTTTCTTTGAGTCCTCTGATTTTTGGGGTTGCACCCTGATAGGGTGACCAGATAGAAAGTGTGAAAAATTGGGATGGGGGGCAGGGTGAAGAGGTAATAGGCGCCTATATAAGAAAAAGACCCAAAAATCAGGACTGTCCCTATAAAATTTGGGACTTCTGGTCACCCTACACAATGAATATGCCCTGGAAACTGGGGGAAACCCCCACGGATTCCAAAAGGGCCACTGGACTGGCGTAGGTCCCCAGTGACCTCCTGGCCATGCACTCAATGGTAACCCTGAGCCTGGGCAGCAGCAAATGACTCCAGCACAGTATTGGTAGTGCTCTGTGTTGCAGATGTAGACACTCATCTGGTACTGGACTCGAAGGTGCCTGTGTAAGTGCCAGAGTCAACGGTGCCGACTTCTGCAGTACTGAGCCAGAGGAGTGACCTGGTTTAGATCTAACTCGACTCGGGTCCCCATGCCTGGCCATCTTCGTTGGTGATTGGTGCCAGGACTCGGGTATGGCAGGAGAAGCACTCCTTACCAACGCTGAGTCACTCAGTGCCGAGACTCGCCAACCTGGCTCAGATGGAGGTCTCAGTGCAGTTCCATGAGCAAAAACTTCAGCCTGGCCTCCCGATCCTTCTTTGTGCAAGGTTTAAAGTCTCTGCAGATTTGGCAATGGTCCCCACCATGAACTTCACCTAGGCACTTGCAGCTTGAGTGCGGGTAGGTCAGGAGCATAGCCTTGTTGCAGGAGGTGAGGGCTCAAAGCCCGGTGACCGAGGCATGCCTCAGCACCAGAGAACGGACTGCTAAAAACTGCTAAATCACCAAGTTACAGAACTTCACTAAAACTAATTACAACTAACTATACAAATATAAGAAAAAGACCACTGAGAGAGCCTGCCAAAGCAAGGTCACTGGAACTGCTATCCACCACAGGCGGTAAGAAGGAACTGAGGAAGTGTGGGGTCAGGTGGGTGATTTATATTGGCACTATAGGTGCATGGCATCAGAGGGCACTTGAGCTGCCCTGATGGGTACCACTGAGGAAAACATTTCTGGTGACTGTGCTTGGGGTGCTTGCAGACTTACAGTGGAATGCACATGTGCAATCACTCAAACAGGAACTACAGTTCCTCAAGAAAAAACTAAACTGTAATCAGAAACTTCACTCCTTTAGGAGGAAGTTCTAGGAGAGGGTGTGTTTAAGCACGGGGGAGTCTGAAGGGTCAGCACAGCACTCAGGGGCTAAGCAGCTTGACAGCAGGTTCCTGCTCTCAGAAGAGGGTGCCAGAAAAAAGGTTAGGGTTTCAACAGTAGCCTAGGGAACTGAGAATTGGAGCATTCAGGCTCCAGAGGCGTAAAACACACAAGAGATGCAGAGACACAGAAAGTTTCCCTTCATAACAGTCCAGTGGGTAGCCAGCAAAGGAGCACATGCCAGATCTGTGATACTGGGATCTTACATCTACTTTGGATTGTCACACATGAAAATAAAGGACAGACATTTTGTCCCGCCTGTTAGTTTCTTTTCTGCTAGTTTCAGTACTTGGGGTGATATACATGGAACAAGTATTCCTACATCTCTCTCTCTCTCTCTCTCTCATGTTGCTATATTAAAATAAATGAAAAAGAGTGGCTGTCTACAAAAAGATGTGGGAAGTAATTTTATATTTAGCAGTTACTATACTGGTATCACTGTTGGAGTAATGACATCTGGAGCTTTCTACAGAGGACTGGCTTTTGTTATGAACGTCAGTGACAAATCTGGTTCTGCCGCTACCTGCATGCAGAAAGGAGAATCTAAATAGGAATGAGACACACAAACTAGGAGAAAAGAGAATTAAAACCCAAACCTGTCTTTCCTTTTAAAGTGTCTAAGATACTTCATAACAAATTTTTAATCTATGGGGACAATCCAAAATTAAATCAAGTGTTCAGTAGGAGGCAGGAAATTTCATGCAGTTTTAGTAGAGAAACAGGTTCTGTAACACAGATAGACCAAATTTGACTTTTGCTCAAAGACTAAGTCTGAGCAATAATGCTTTGTATAATATATTGGCCTAGTGTGGGTGATCATGACTTTCTGTAGTGGCTGTTCTCAGCAACCATGCAACCTGATACTTAGTTCAGTGCTATAGGTGGCCTATGCTTTGATGCTGAAGATCCTAAGTTCTGTTCCTTCTAATGTATGAAGCTTACCATAGGGCTACCCTGAAAATCTGAGAGAGAAAGAAATCAGTGGCTTGCTAAGGATGCATATATTACTCTTGCTGTGCCTTAACAGGAACTTTAAGTTTTAGTTCTGCAAAGGAGTACTAATGAGAGATTCTTCTCCATGGTTCTTTCGGGAACAACATGTCCTGGGGTATTGTGCTAAATGAAACAAAATATGCCAAATGGACTTTAGAAGGCCTTATTTTACTATAGCCTCATGGCCCGTTGATGATGAACTTATAGAGAAAGGTCTTACTTGAATAGACATAATGGCTTGAGAAGAGTATTGACAGCATGATGGTTGACTGAGGTAGAACTTCACTACCACCTTTGGAAGGAATTTAGGGCAAGAGTGTAGCACTACCTTATACTTAAATCGATTTGTCTAAGTGAGTCCAGTCACTGAGGCTTGAAGGGAATTAAGTGTCTAAAATGAAGTAACTGTCACCAAGGAAAAATCTTTCTAGAGACATTTTATCAGCTTTCCTGTCTCCAGGAATGGTAAACTATTACCAATGGTATCTTTGGAGAAGTGAAAAGGACTTATTTGTATTTCTTTTTTCTCTGACTCTTAGTAGATAACCACCTGACCAAATTGAGAATTCTGCAGTCTTTCAATTTTGTAATTTATGTATTTTTCAAGTGTATAACAATGTACCTCTCTAGGTGCATGCAGAACTGCCCCTATAAAACCACATTTCTACATCATTCAGTTGACAGTGTGTCCACTACAAAGGAGAAGGTAATTCTCAAAGCACTGAAAGTCAACAAACGCTGCCTGGTTTGTGTGGAGGGAGTGAAGTCCCCAGCCCAACAATATAGGGACTGTCAGCCTGATTAACCCAGCTGTAGGGGTAATGTTATGTAATGTACCACCTTCCTTTCAGAAAGGCTGGGAGGGTACTGTAGTTTCCTAGCAGGGGCATATGAAGCACCTGCACAAGCTGAACTTTAGAATTTTGAATGGTGACAGTGCCTAATCTCCCTTGAACCCATGAGGGGATATCTATTACACCCGGTGCACTAACTTTGAAAACTAAGGGCTACCACACCCCTATCGTTTTTCCAAGTTGCAATCTTTAAGCAGCAGCATGAAATAAAATACACAGAGGACTCTTGGAAAGACATACATTAAACAGCAGTTCATTCTTCCCTTGCTGAATGGTGTTAACTCCTGTTACGATTAATGGAAGTTACAGACACACACCAAAAGAAGAAAGGACCACTGTTGCAGAAGATATTGTTAAATCTGTTATTATGAAGGAAGACTTTACCATCAATATTTTAGCAGATGTCTACAGGAAATAAACAAACTGGGGCAATATTGAAATAACAAAACATATCTGTCTTGTATCCCCTAATACATACCTGGTCAGTTTTATGGTTTTCCTGAACTCATTAGTAATTGGAGCTTTGTAGCCTCCTTTCCTCAATAAGGAATCTATGGTCTGAATGTGGTCCCATCCTGTTGAGTTTTATCAGAATAAAAATCAGCAAAGAGCATGTAATTAAACAGACTTTACATTAAAATATTACTTCATGTTATATTTTTGCATCTACTCTGCTGAAGTCCATTATAAACATTCCCATAGATCTGTAACAAGTAAATTCCTGTGTTCCTAAGAACAGCTTCTTGCAGGAAGTACCACATACAGGATTCTTCCTACATCAGCGTAAGTTTATTGTGCAAAGCAAAGATCTTGCACATAGTTTAAAAGTAGATCCAAGACAGCCGCGTTTTCTGGATATAGGGAAACAAAAATTATATCCTTCCAAAGTCTAAAAGCTGTAAAAGAAAACGAGGACTTCATCCTACTATGGCAAGATCATATATCACAGTAATCCTTTAAATCGTATTGAAATAAAATACATAGAACCACTTGAAAATCAAGTTTCTATTGGAAATATTGCATGTAAGCAATCTTAACTGGCTCAAAATGTGCTTTCAGAGGTGCAGGTGGAGGATAGAAAAATCCTATCCCTCATCATCAAATGGTATGGGGTCTCACAGACCTCTCTGTAAGTGCCACTGTTAACTTTAACAGTGATTTTTCCAATTTCAGAATTACAACATTAAACAGTTTGCTGGCGGTTGGCTTATAAATTTTTGGAGTATTAACCCACAATTAGTTTAGGTTAATTATGGTTCTCACCCAACAAGTCTTTTACACTATTTTAAAGCAATATATAAAGATCAAATTTTGAATACATGGTATCACAATAATATGTAGAAAATGAACTGTGCATCTTTTATTTATAAAACTGTTAGATGTGTTATTTCAGAAGTACACAATTGCTTAGATTATTCAGATAGATGCCTAACAAGACTAAATATATCATTTTGCTTTGTCTGTTTAATAAACCACATGTATAAAAACCTTTTTTTTTAAAAGAACCCAAAATTATATATATAAAAATTTTGACCTAAAGAAGTTCACATAACAATTACATTTTATAAATATAGTGAAAGCTGTCTTAAGTGACCATATAAGGGCTCAGCAAAAACTGAAAGATGCAGATCTATAAGTACAGAACAAACAAAATTGTACTGGAAATCTTAGGGATAATTTTAAGTGGTCACTTGTAGACAAGGAGTTGTATAGTCAAGGTGATCCTTAGTGCAGATTCTTCTTTATCTCTTAACACAACAAATCCAAACATAAGGAGGCAAATGCAAAAACAATGCAAAAAATGAAAAAAAAACCCAGAGTCACGGCTAGAAGAGAAAACGTTAGTAAGTAGTTAGCGAATCAGCACCATATACTGGTATTAAACAGAACTAGTGTATATTGTTCTTTCAAATGATGAACTTACAAGTCTGCCCCTCTTTTAAAAGGGACACACTTTCATTTACAGAAGTATTTTGGGATATTCAGTATGAAACCAACTCCCTTCTACCCACCCAAGAAACAATGGGAAGCCAAAGCTCTTAAAGAGGATTAAGTGCCTGCAGTGAGAGCCTAACAAAAGAAAAATTTGCAGGTTGCGAAATAACTCCATTGTTAAAATCCATGAGCAGTCATCCCATCACTAAGTTAAATGAGTTTTGCATTTCACTGATTGTAGCAAGTTGGGTGTATGAAAAATGGCAGCTTTTAATTCGCACTGTACCACCCCCTACATCTTTTATTTTGCATATTGTTGCTACTTTACTGTTTGTTTCTGACTTCCTTAACAAACTATTACAATTTACTGAAATCTTCTCAATAACGGGACTGATTTTATACAGGCATGTAAGTGGCATTTATAAGAGTCATTCCTTACAGTTAAGTATTGCTCCATCATCTGACATCAGTGCAAGGTCAAATATTGCATTTTAGGTTTATATGTATATTTAAATTCTTCACCAGATCATATGAAATAAAGTGCAACAATGACCTTGCTCCTTTGCAACCTCCGGTAAGTAGGTGGCGGTGCGTTTTGATCCTTTTTCATTGATGAATTCTATTCTAATGCCATGTACACCCACCTGAAAGAAAGTGGCAGTTTTATTAGTACATTTAAAAATAATACAAGAAATTTCTACTGTGAAAAATCACAAGATGTGAGCCTTTTAAAGAAAGGTTTACCCAATTTTAGATTTTTTTAAAAAACATTTTCCAGGTAATTCCGAAGTGAAGTTAGCCCTTTTTAATGGTGTCCAACTGACAGCCTGGTCAGGGCAGTGGCAGTACAAGCATGCCCTACAATTCCCCACCAAAGTACTTCATCTCTGACCTGAAGGGAACACCATTTGAGGGGAGAGTAGTTTGGTCTCCATGCCCATTCAGTGCTTGACCTCTCTTCTGATCCTGCCAACAGGGGTGTTATTAATGGATGTGAACACCTGTCCACCAAAAAAGTGAACCAAGGTCACCAGTTCCATTTCCTAGGCAACCAGTGTTGTGGTCTAATGACTTGTGGCCATGACAGCCGGGATCTTGTCTGAACTGGCAACCTAATGGTGAAAGGTTTGAGTTATTACCAATCCCTTGAGCTTTCCAGTCCATGAAATTTCCACTAATGTATGAAGAAGAGGTGTACAGGAATGAAAGGTATTTCAAAGCTTTGGGAAGCTAATCAACTTCAAATTCATATTTCCATATATTACAAGACTGTTTTCTAGTGTAAGGTCTACTGCCTACAATGAAGAAACCAACATTGCTGACAGACAGGAGCGACATGCGACTTTCATGAGATGTTCCAAATTCCTATAAGAACTAGGCTGGATGCTCTTTCGAGGCACTGTTTGCAAAAATAATGCGTGTGTACACAGCACTTCCCTATTTTCAAGGGTACAATAATTCTGCTGTAAACACATGTTCTTGATCAATTTGTCATAAGAGGCCTCCAGCTAGGAGTGAAATTTCTTACCAAAATTTAATAAACAGTTTTCAGTTACTTTTAAGTTACACAAAAGTAAACAAAATGTTAGTAGCCTCAGATTTTTATTCTTGTGCTCCTGTAAATAAGATTTGTTTTTACTTAAATTTGGAAGTCTTCAGGTGCATATGGAAACATGAGTATTGTGTGTTTAAAAGCTTATAGTGTTATTTGGTTTAGATACCTGTTTTTTGGCACAAACTAATTTGATTTCAACAAAAAGTATAGAAAGATTTTTAGAATAAAGACTTACTATAGAACAACTGCATGGCAGCCAAATTCAAAACCAAGGATTAATATAATGGAGCACATAGGCTCTCCAGGGCCAACTGTCCAATTAATACACAGATATTTCAAGGTAAATATTACACAGTTACTTTTGCTCTAGCATCTTCATATGGCTATAAGTGTGGGGTGAGGGGTGGGAGTTTATTCTGGCGACCTTGACTTGCAAATCCTCCTCCTCTTTATCAGTGCACCATGTCTTAAATATGATGAAACTTTTCTGAATGAAGATGTGAATCTCTAACCTCCTTCATAACAACTGGTCTCAATTAATCTCTCTTACATTTCTGAACCTAAACTTTCAAGTAAGCAGGTGTAATTTTGTTTTAGAAGCCAAATCTTACTCTTTGAAGGTGTAATTCAGAACCAGACGGTTCTATTATGACAAACTGAAATTTGGGAATGAAAAGTCTTTAAGCAGATCTCGCCTAATTTATTCTAGGATCAAGGAAACCAACTAGTAACTTTATGCAAACTGTAAGACCACATCTGAATAATGGGAAACTTCACACTAATACAAAGTGATGCACATCAACATGGTCCATCCATGTGAAGCTCAGGTGCCCCCTTTTATTATTGCATCTGTTTTTTTCAGATCAAATTTGCAAGACAAATTGATTAGAGCAGAAAAGTAATTACAGATTGAATTAACTGCCAAGATAAAACCCAAAATGTATCCTGACCAAAACATTTGTTTACATACAAACACTACCAGTTTTAAATTTTCCTACATACCAGAAACTGAAAAAAATCTATCAGTCCTCAAACACAACAACTCCAACTCCTTTGAAATCTCTCTTTATTACAGCACGTAGATTGGGATCGGGGTCCTGTACCGTCTTTGCATATTGTCTAGAACAGTGGTTCTCAAAGCCAGCCCACTGCTTGTTCAGGGAAAGCCCCTGGTGGGCCGGACCGGTTTGTTTACCTGCTGCGTCCGCAGGTTCGGCCGATCACAGCTCCCACTGGCAGCAGTTCGCTGCTCCGGGGCAATGGGGGCTGCGGGATGGGCGGCCAGCATGTCCCTTGGCCCACGCCGCTTCCCGCAGCCCCCATTGGCCTGGAGCAGCAAACCGCGGCCAGTGGGAGCTGCAATCAGCCGAACCTGCGGACGCAGCAAGTAAAGAAACCGGTCCAGCCTGCCAGGGGCTTTTCCTGAACAAGCGGCGGATTGACTTTGAGAACCACTGTTCTAGACAATATGCAAAGACAGTATAGAATGGTCACTGCCATGAACAGTTTACAATCCAATTTAAGAAAAGGCTCAACAAGTGGGTTTAGCAAGCAATTTGAGGTAGAAAGGGGAGGACAGACAAGTGTAACTACATGAGCCTGTCAAAGTTACGTAGCCTAAGGAGCATACAACATGACCCCTGATTCCATTTTAAACCTTAACTTTGTTTTAACTTTTCCTATTTCCAATTTGTACAAAAATATTTTATTTAGCCTCTGCATATGGTAATTTTCAGGCTATTATTATTAATCTACCTATTTTCATGAGGCTTCTATTAGGAAACTCACAGAGCAGTCACCCAGGGTATTGGTGGTGCTGTGATAACATGTATACACCCTCATCACTCTTCTTGCCTGCTTTATGATAGTAAGCTCGAAGGGTATTGACATTCTCATTGTTTTAATTCATAAATGACAATATCTGTTGTTAGGATCCATAAAGGTAAGGAGAGCAGTGGGATTAGAATCTAGATGAACAGATGATGTGATACATATTCTCGCTGCAGTCACACCCTGTATTTGGTGGTGGGTTAGAGAAGTGCTAGAATTTCATCAGTGTTGAAGTTCTCATTTTACAGAACCTGAGGTACATTTCAGTATACAAGGGAACAATGAAAGATTTTAGGATGGGTTTAATTTCAACTCATTAAGTTTTCTGTATAAACTTTTTTGAGGAAGTATGTGATTGCTTCACTGATATGAACAGATACAATTATAGTAATTGGTGGAAAAAATGAACGTACAGAGCTGTCTTGTGCTATCACCACCATGCTGCACAATTAGGCATTTGACAGTTTCATAGTACTTATGGTATATATTCAATTACTCAAGGTATTTTGTAAAATATGTTTTTATTTTAGCATGTCTTCAAAATCAAATTTAAAAATGTTGTGGAATATATAAAGTTAGGTCCACCTTCCTGTGCTAATATCCTGTGCAACAGAGGTGATCATGAGAACATATAGTTTACAATATTCATGAGGAATTAACCAGAAATACAGTAAAAACTTTGTTATCTGGCATGTTGGGGGAATAGCGGGTGCCGGTTAATCAAATATTCCAGTTAACTCAGAGTTATACTTTACCAATGGAATACCAATTTTCAAAGAATTACAATACAATAAAATGAATAAAGTATAAAATACAGTAGTGCAGTACACAAGTATTCGCCAACTCAGTAGTAGTGCTGCACTGCAGCGTGGTTGGTGTCTTGAAGCACTTAGGTGTATACAGATAACCTATGGTATAGAAAACTTATCTTATGATATTATATATCACTATGGGCAGTGCATGATGTACACCCAGATCACTAAAAATACACAACACTAAAACTATACTGAACATATTTAATCTTTCTTTGGTGACTCAGAAGGCACTTCAAGGCTCTTGCCTCAAGGTTATCAATTATCATTGTAGATGTGGAAGGTGTAGTAGATTGGGCTGAATCTGTAATGGCCCGATAACACACCCTGGAAACTGCTTTTTTGAATCAATCCCTGATATCAGCTTGCTGTCTTCTGCCTCTTTTGCATAAAAGTAGAGTGCAGAATGTGCAATTGCATAACTTTCTGGGCAATATACTAGTTCCCATTACTAGATTGGGGATTTGTATTGGGAGATATCAGAAATGCCGGATAATAGAGCTTTCTGGTTGATAAAGTGCCAGATAACACAGCTTTTACTGTACTGATGACGTGCTGAATATGATTCAATATCCAACCAACAAATAATTGCACTCCAACAGAGAGTAAACATAATTCTCATTGATGAGTAGATTGTGCGTCATAACCAATTAAATGGACTGACAGAGTTCATGGAAATGTCTTGCTCTATTTATGATGTCCAACACACTTCTGACATATTACTAACCCTGCCCCACAACTACACAAGAATATTGCATTGGTATAACTTAACTTGTGAATTTAAACCACTAATAGCTAACAACTGCCAACCTCTGCATGGACATGCTTCTTTTGGTGTAAGTGGTTTTTTTTTTCAGTTTAGCTTAAGTTGACTGGAACAGGCTTAAATTTTGGGTGGTTGTTTTTTTAAAACTCTCTCTTGGGTGCATCTGTTCACTAGAAACTCTAAGATTATGATCTAATTTTGTACAGACTGATGAAAAGCCATCTCTCAGTCATTGCTATTAACTTTCATCTCATCATCAAACCCCACAGCCAGAGTCTCAGGAGTCTTCTACAGATTGGTAGCATTTCATTGAAGGACAACAAATTCAGGATAAAGGACCATTTCACATTATTTCAGCAACCAGAAACTGACAAAATATTGGCCATTAAGTAGCCTGAATTTATGACAGTATGCTTAATGTGGAACTACTGAAGAAACTTGGCTAATTTTCTGTGCTGCCTGTATTCTGACTTTTCTTGATGTCAGGAAGGCTTGTTTCAATATCCCAAAGCTTTCTCAAGGAATCTGAATCACTTTGTGGTAAGAAGACACAGATGATCTTAAGAGGAGAAAAAAATGACTAAAAGGAAATGTACTGGGGAAACCCAGTTGTGATAGGGTGTGAGTGACAGAGAAATGATAACATAGCTTTTGCTTCCTTCGGTATTTTCATAAAAGAGAAATGCAGAAAATGTATAAATTAGTTTGTCTTTCACACATTAACAAGGTATCTACTCTCAAATAACCAGCGTCTGTAGTACCAAAGCTTGCCTCCTGAAACATTTAAGCATATTTCATACTTGTCCTATCCATTTGTAGGATTCAATTTTTTCCTCCCAGGGACTCCTGATACAGCATCCTGAACCTCTCTCCTGGGGTAAGGGATTCAGTGGCCTGAGATGCAGAATGGATAGGAATCCCCTCTTTTTTTTTTTAGGATCTAAGCAAATCAAACAATTTCCTTTAAAAAAAAAAAAAAATCCTGAAACCCACTGTACTGTTTAGTAACCTAGCAGAACATGTTTTAAGTGTTTGATTTCCTCTGTGGAGCATTGTACTGTAAGGAAATGCCTCGCTAAATAGTTTAAAGATTCCCACTCTGACATGAGTTGAGAGTAAAGGAATTCAAGAGCAATAAAGCTACGAGCAAAAAAATTAATAATTTTGGAGAAGAGGGAATTGCAGAATCTGTGCAGGGCAGGGATGACCTTAGTGGAAGGGTAAAGAAATCAGGAAGGTGATTGCAAGGTGGGTGAAGGGAGGAATAAAACTGAGTTTGCTTTGGGGATGGATGGCTGCAAGGGGAAATGGAATGGGAGAAAAAGTCCCATCAGATACACTGGAGGATGTGAAAGGGTGCAGATCTTACTGACTCCATGTCAGTAGCATTAAACAGTTATTTTACTTCCATGAGCTGCTTCCCCACTTGCCCTCTGGTGTCCACATTCTCTACTAAAGAAGTATTATCATTCAAAAACATATCCCAGAATTCATGACACTGCATGTCTCACCACCTTTCTTTGATGGAAAGGCTGTGACACTCCACATAAGTAGACATTGGACAGGGGTAGTGGAGAGATGTCTCGTGGGAGGAAGACTCTGTGCTTACAGAAATGAGGAGACAATGCATATCTGCCCAGCATCCATTGCAAACCACCACGTGTGTGAACTACGGATGCATAGTGCAATCATATACAGTCATGCGTGAATGGAAACCCTGTGTTTTTTATGAAGTGTCTTCATGAATCACTGTACTGATGTGATCCTTTGAAAGTAAATAGAAAAAGGTGAAAACCTTTATAAAAGGTGAAAATGGTGGCAATTTGAAAAATCATATGGGAGCTAATGGCAGTCAATTCACTTATGTCTCCTGTTTACTCGCCTGAAGTCTCTGCTGCAAAGAGGATCTCTCACTGCTTGCTGCAACTGAAAAACTGATCTCTTCAGTTTGGGGAAACAATTCATTAATCAGTAGAAGGAAGATCTATCAGTCTGTTTCAGGGTATAGGAGGCACTCCTGTCCTGAGCCATGTCTTCAAATGATCGTCTCTAAACCACCACAGCACTGCAAGCTGTCTGGATCTGCAATTTTGAAATATTTTGACTTCTGTCAGCAAATTGCTGAATTAGCTCCCACAAGATCTCAATAGCATACCTACAGAAGTAAGGTCTCCTAACCAGGCTGATGATTTTTCAGGATGATCTGGAAATGAGCAGTTATACCAGATGGAAGACCCAGAATCTCTCTTTAGGTCATATTCTAGCCATCTTGAAATGTCTTTTTGCCACTGACATTGCATAACTGCAGTTCCCTTAAAAGAAACATGGATGACATAAGCTGTCTCACTGTAAGGGGCATGTACAGTGACACATCATTCTTTTAAGGACTAACATTTCAGTATAAACTTCTTACTTTATATGGAATGCCTGTACGTCATTTATAGTTATATATAGAACCATGACTTGAAAAGCATGGCAGAAAAAATGACAGGATTTTGCCATGTCTCAGGAGACTCATTATATTATGGCCACCTCTTTTGATTGCCTTACCATGTTAGAGGCTTTAAAAGTAGATTATTAAAATATTTGACAATACTCTTACCTTTCCCACCCTTCCAAAAAAGGCTAATGATTTCCGTTATTGAAGTGTCTTAAGAAATTTCATGGCAAATATTTTTCTACAGAATTTTTAAACCAATGTATAGAGTTCTATAGCTGGGATATAGCTCTCTATTTAATTCTATAGGGAGGATTACAAATTCTATCAAAAGGAATTTATATTTTATTACCATCGAAAGTCATTTCTTTCAAATCCTATTTTTATTTCTGTTATTAAATTCTATAGGACTTTGCAATAAAATACAGAAAGTGAAATTGCTGAAGTTACATACATATAGACATTTAAGGTATAAATTAGAAGATGGGCTCCAAATCACAACATTCAGATCCATACTTTCCCAAAGTTTGGTGGGTGTTCTGAGCTGGGGTTTTGGTTTAAGCCCCTCTCTCGAACAAATACATATTTTGGTCATTTTAAAGCAATATGCTTATTTGATAAAACATAATGGCTCCTTTGAAACAGTTTGTCATTATGTAAAAATATTTATCTGGAAACTTGAAATGCCTGTTTCAACTTGGGAAGATAATGATCATTACATTATACTGTACTAGACGATAGCATGAAGCCAATAAAATATTAGTGTGCATTTAAAATATTATGAAAAACAGTTTCTGAACATGCCCACAGTCAATTTTCAAGAGTTAAAATAAATTTAAATGACTGAGTTATTAAATCCTTCACATTACTAATTTTAGCATCAAATGCTAAACTGTAGCAAGCAGACTAGACAAAATCTCAACCAGACAGTTTGAATTATTTACTAAATTGATTTAATTATTGGCCTGTAAAGTTTCATTTAAAAAGCCACTGTAGTTATTAACGCTTGAAAAATTGTGGTCCAAACATATACTGTACTTCTGTAGCTCAGAGACAGACAATTGGATTGTCTAGAAAAAAAACTGCTCTTGGTTTAGGACAAAGCTTCAGCTCAGAGTAAATTTTTGACAGAGGAGATATAAATCATGAAGAATGGTGTTTATGGTGAAAACACTGATCGTTCCTCAAAGGAAACTTGCACCCATTTTGCTCAGCAGTAGAGAAGACATAAAGCTGTTGTCACTACCAATTAACTGTGAAATGCATTATATTTAAGCTTTCAATTACTGTACAATTGGGACTTCAGAGGCTAACGCTGGAGACAGTCACCCCAGTGAAAATGAGGCCTCTTGTGACCTTACCAGTGAGAGCACCCAATTGTGGAGACTATACACCCGTTTTCAACCTACAGATACAGCCAATAGAAAAGCATTACTGTTCACAATTTTTAAAAAACGAACACTAAGCATTAGAGCTCTTTTATGTGTGTTAAACCATTATTAACACAAGACAGTGGAATTTGTTTTCTTTTGTACTGGACTAGACCATGTCCATTATTTACGTAAGTGACAAATTTTCAGTAAAACTGTCGCACTCAAATATACATTGTAATTAAAAAAAAATGTAAACATAATAGCAATTGCTTTGTAACCTGTGAGTTTTCATGCTGCTGTGCCAAGACAATGTGTGCAGTTTCCCTTTAACCGTAACAAGTAAAGTGGATGCTGCTCTTCACAGGATAAGTATTAAATTGAAAAAATAAATGGTATATTTGGTTCTCAATGTTTTCAAGGGATTAGTGGGGACAGGTGCTAACTGTCTGGCTTGCACCATTTTCTCCAGATAAAGTGTTATTTGGCTTCAGCCATCCATGCTTATTCCTATATCTAAATGAGGCAGCTGTGTGGAACTTTTTTTTTTTCCTTCTACCTTCCCAATGAGTGCACTATGTGATTCCAGCAGCTTAAGGTCAAATGTAGTATCAGTATAGATTGTCTGGTACAGCCTCTTTCTAGAGACTTATCTTGTTCTAGCAGAATGATGGACTATGACTATCTAGGTCTCCTCTATAACTACTTCATTACAGAAAGTTTTGATCCAAAAAACTGAGGATGTATTTCAGACTATGCCTATTTTAATATTGCAGGATTTAATCTTAAAAAACAAACAAACAAACAAACAAAAAACAACCCTGAGACATCAGTGGTGTTTTGTTCATGTGTCTTTTAAGAACACAGGTTTACTGTGATCATCCAGTGGGCATGAAAATGGCTCAGTTCCACTTTACGGTTTTCATATCCTAAGAACTTGCATGGTAACACCAGATCTCCCAGGAGACACCAGAGATGCATCATCTTATGTGTATAAAAGACAACTAAGACAATCAGATAACTACACTAAATATTCCAAAATGTCAGTTATTTTCTTATTAGGTTGGGAGGAACTAGAGGATACTGATATCAAGGTCATTTTCTTTAAAAAGATCTGGAATCCTTACCTCCCAGTCCAAGTAATCACATACATCTTCAAAATTAGTGAGTAGAGACACTGAGCAGAAAAGCCGTGGCAGCTCATCCCTCGTCATTGGGGGGAAACGGCTATCTTTAAGGGCACTGTTGAAAACAAAACAGATTTTTAAAGCTTTTTTTTTTTTTTGGTGTGTGTGCCTAAATTGAACTACCTAATGAACCAACTGGGAAAGAAAAAGGTAAGAGACAGCAAAAATAAAAGCTGATGGAATGATGACTACTCTGACAATTAATTCTTAATAGTGCAATACACCAGTATGGTATATCCTTTTCTCTTAGACAAATGGTTTCCAGATTTCATGGCTGGACAAGTTATATGGTCAAACCAATTGACTAGATTTCCTGGGTGGTCACTCCTTGCTGAGTTGGTTTTGCTACAGGGACAGTCTTAAGGAGGAACAGATTTTGGGGAAAAATATATAAAAAACAGATCAATGACAAATCTGTTTTGAAAAGATTAAACAACATAATTTTAGGTAGGGGAAGAGAGTTATGCTGGAAAAAATATATTTTGACATCTTGAAAATAATCAGAATGATAACTCTGTAAGGAACTATTGTGTTTAACATATCAACGTAGACAATCTGAATGAGCAAAATATTCATGCAAATTAAGAAATGTCAATGTAAAAAGGTAAAATACTTATAATGGTACCATCAAAGAGACTCAAATTTGTGAAACTATAGGACTTGAAACTATTCTGCAAAACAGATGTATGATAAGTAATAGAGCAGCTAATGAAGATAATCTAAGATAATCCGCTGATAACGTAAGATCCTGTGGGCAGGTGTGTAATGTAGAAGTTCAAAATCAAAGGGGAAGTGGTACCATCTACATTCATCTCAGTAACATCTGCATTACAAAAACAGGAGAGAGTGGTTAACCAGAGATGTTGGAAACAAATGTCAAAGATAAGAGCAGTATATTGTGCAAGATTTGGTATAAGGAGAACTGGGCAAATCAGAAAGGGTAAAATGAGTGCAATATACCTGCATTTATTATTTTCTAAGCTTGGGACAGGAGATACTTATACACAAATGTGCTTATGTTTAACAAGAAAAAGAACTGATCTGGCCAACTGGTTGTTTCAGCAAAAGAGGAGAATCTAACAGTGCAGAAGCCTAGTCTAAGGAGCTACCTAGTCCTCAACAGCCTTCATTTTCCACCCACTGAACGTAGGATACACTCACTAGTTCTATGAACCCTATTTGGAAATGACTAGAGATGACACCTCTTGGATCTGGTACACAACTGTGTTTCTAAAGGTGCTCAGGGTTCATTGAAATGTCTGGGTCAAACTCAGCCATTGTGTGTAGTCCTATCAATAGCATAGTTTGGTTCAATATAGCTAAATACAGCTAAATTTAGCTCAGATGGAGTTGTTGTACAGAGTGCAGTAGACGCAAAAAAGTTTAAGCTGGAACGGGGAAATTATCGTATGTATAGTTGATCCAGCCTTTTAACAAGGATCAATATGTTTTATTGTGGTGTAATGCTTGAAAACATTTAATGAAAACCTATTGGAACTACTGAGGTGGTGAGAATTACTACAGGCCCCTTTTCAAACATTGGTAGTTTTACACAAAAAGAGGAGGAGAAAATCCAATTTTATTTTTGGATGGACTTAAATGTAGTTCATTGTATAGGTTGACACAGGATGAGGGGTAGCTCTACCAAGCATTAAGGAGTATTTTAGGATGCCCAGCTTCAAACCATGGCCAATACAGAGATTAGAGAGACAGGAAAACATGGGGCAGGTACAGCAAATAGAAAAGTTAAGTATCTTTTTATGAATGAGGAATATACTTATTAGGAAGGAAAGATCGTAGCATTCTGTGCCTCAGCTTTCCCACTGGGAAAATGGGGATAATACCAATCTATGTAAAGCCTAGAGAAACTCTGTATGAAACCATACTATATACATCTCAACTATGATTATCTTTGGCAGGATTATGGAAGTACATTTGTGTATGTGATTGCCTTCATTAGTTCATCTCAGAAGGTGAATGATATTCTCCAAGACCCCATAGAATTATTTTCAAAACCAGCTGCGCAACTGCTGCAAGTTGAAAAATCAGACCCCAGTTCCTCTCCTCCCTTGTCCCAGTGACATGGAGCAGTATCAGAAAACAAAATCTATTTTAGACATGATAAAGTACTGATAATGAGAGGGTACGAGGCCACGTTTGCCTTTTATAGCTCTCCATGTGCTTTTCTTCCTGGGTTTGAGAGAGGCACTGCACAACTAGAGCAAATGCCAGTGAGAAAAAATGGCAGTTTAGGAATAGACAAGTAGATGACAAGAACGTTGGTAGAACCAGACCTCTTCACACTAGTGAAATTAGAATTGACATATATTACCGTTTTCTAAAGAGGTTTCATTCATTTGTGATGCTCAGGCTGGAAGGATGAAATGGTTGAGTACCACTGCAATAACATGTATTTAACCTGATGTTGGTTATAAATTACTATTTCAAGGCTTAAACTGCTATTTTTCAGTGTCACTTAACAGAACAATTCTCAACAGCAGTAAGTTAATGAAACATTTTTGTTGATCAAATAACTTTGCATTACTTACTGCTGTGCCTTTCCATCTCTAGAAAGGCAATGTTGTAATTATAATTACTGGATAATAAGAAATACACTAAGCGAACATATATACAATCCAGACATTTTCCTGCACCTCTTAAAATCATACAGTAAAAAATTATGTTCTGCAAATCTCAATTTGATATTACTAATTTCTAATTTTAAAAATCAAGATGGTAGGCCACATAAATCTATTGCCAACCTAAACCTGGCCTATGTTAAAAATCATAGTTCAATTTGTCTGACATACGCAGGTTTGTGATTTATTACTAACCAAACAATGCCTACAGAATTCTCACCACTTTAATATTCCCTTTTTTCCCCACACACACTGTGCCAGTGGTATAAAAATACACTGATCGAATGCATTGTAAGTCTAAGAGACTTAAGTCATCCTGGTGTTTTGGGTCAGGTAAATGATTAAGTCATAATATTAAGGCATGATTCAAATTTTTTAAAATTAAATTGATAGTCTTGTTCTTTCCTTTAGTCAGAAAGATGTTTAATTAAGATTCCTTGTTACTTTTGTCAATATGCTTTGATTATTATATTGCATTAATATGCTTGGAACTGTTCACTTTTTTATTTTTGATGAATTACACTGCATATTATTTTTGGGACATTTCCCCCATCCCACAGGAAAAGATACTGTTAAAGATTATGGCAATTCATTATTAGATTTCAAGTTTCTCAGTAACATAATGTGCCTGTACAGTATTAATAGCTTATTGAGTTCTACTGATGAAAAGAGGTGGATATTATTAAATCTAAACCAAAAATTCCAATTCTCTCAGGACAGACCTGTACAGACTGTTATTAGAAAACACTCTTCTAGGTACTGTGGATGCTCCGATCCACCTTTCTTAATTTGTGCATTAATTGTCATGTAAAACATTCCATACCAGCTGAATTTGATACCTTCAGGAACCATCAAGTTGTGCAAGAGAAGAGACTATGTGCAAGACTATGTAATCACATGGTCTTATTTTTGTAACCTTCACTCTCCCTCTCCTTTTCCTCCTTTTATTTCATCCATCATATTTGCTTGTTACATCCTGCTTCAAATTAAAGACTAAACTCATTGGGGCAAGGAATATCTCACTATATGTCAAATCATGGGCCCAGTGAAGTTAGTGGCCAAAATTCCAGGTATAAATTCTCAGCTGGTGCAGACTGTCAAAGCTCCATTGACTTCAACAATTTTCCACTAGTTGAGGATCTGCCTCTTTGACTTTAATGAGGCCAGAAGTCATCCTATATGTTTAATGCAGAAATCACCACAATAACACCTCAGTTCCAACTGCGGCTATTGTGGGGTTATACGCAACTTCAGTAGTAAAATAAGTAACATTCTGGGAGCTAATCTGAACAAATCATAACAAATTTGAGTAACGCCCAAGAACTGAGATATGAATCCTAGTACGAACCTATCAAAGACAGAAAGGCACATGCAGCAACACAATAAGATGAAAGTCAAGTGTACAATAATAAAAATGAAAATGTATGGCCACCTCAATTTGAAGCCTGAGGCAGGAAAAAGTCCTTTAATGTTATTTTCATAGTTGGCAGCTGACTGAAGGTTTTAAAATTTTAGGAAAATTAGCATTAATTGTAATTTGCATAGAATATCATTAATGTGCACCTTCACTGTATACTCTTGTAACTGCTCAGTTATATCATTATCACAAAATTACACAATATTATGGAGGTGCTGGTAACAGCTGTATAGTTAATGATGAGTCAGAAGTTTTCAGTGTAATAGAAGATTTAAACCTTTATTTTGTAAGTCAACTGAAGTGCCAGTAAGTGAAATACAGAAAGTAAACTAGCTACAATTTAATATTTTCATGGGGGTCTGATGAAAATTGGGTTGATACGGACAATGAGAGTTCCAAAGTAACTCCTATTCAAGGAAACTAAAACATCTGGGATCCGTGTTTTGCTCCTCATGCTCATTAATACAGTCGTAATTACAAATAAGTCGTGCTTGTTTGGATCATGATGATTAACTTTGTTTTCATAACTGAAAAGAAAAGCACCAACCCAAACTGCCATATTTAGCAGCTACAAAGTAATATAGCCACTCGGGTAAAAATGGGGGAGAAAGAAGAGAATACAGATAGAATTCCCTTTATGTGCTTGCTTTCTGTAGATAAAAGTGATGTGAAACTAACTACCCACTTGTGCCCCACACCTGTAATAATTTACACCTATGTGCAAAAAAAATAAATCAGACTTTAAAAATCTGACCGCTTGTGTCAACACGTACACATACAGGAGCACATGAGCTAAGAGAACCGTTCAATTCTACAGAAAGCAGAACAGCAACATTTTGAACAACCTACATACATTTTAAATCACAATTTATAATATTTTATATCATAAGCTGTTATGAGATCAGGAAATGTGAAAAACCTATTTTACTGCAACATTTTCACGAGTTGCTTTGCCTGTGCTGGAAAGAAGGCAAAGTACCACAAGAAATCGAAGAGGCC